AAAGAAATCATAGGAAATTACCATAACTGGACAAGAAATATACTGCATGTAGTTAGCAGTATAAGAGTAAACTGAACATTACATTTTTCAAAAAGATTAAATGAAGAATGTGTTTTTTTGAGCTCACATTTTTAGTGTAAATTTAAAATTTAAAATACCTCACGTGAATACTTATGCTGTGATTTTTATTTATACCCAATACCCTCATTTTTTATTGTGATTTATTAGAAATATTATCTGGAAGGTCCCAGACTATTGACCCTAACATCTAGAAGGTGTTTATTGAGTTTTTTCCGAAGATTCTTCTGTTCCTGGACTAGTCTTTCTACAATTGAGTATAAAAAAAAATTTTTTTTCAAGTAGTTAATGGTATCTAAAGCCTACTGATAATGGATACTAGAAGACAAAGCTCAAAACATTTTGATTGTCCTGAATGGATTATTTCTGTACAATTTGAAAAGAATGTTAAATTGTATGTACAGGATCTTGATAAGGCAGTTCCTTTTCTGAGTTCTGCCTTGACCTGTTAAAAAAAAAAAAAAGATAAAAGAGAAAACTAAAGTGCTCATACAATTTTGTGACATACATTTTGGAAACATGGGGAAGTGAGACTTCAAGAGTATTTCTAATGCAAGAAAGTATATAAATTAGCTGGGCATCATGAAAATAATGGATTGGAGAGATTCATTTTTTATCCCACTCAGACACAGCTCACTGAATAAGGCAAGTTCCTGCACGTACAACATTGAATGTAATCTGTTTTTTCAGCTATTTTTAGCTAGGAAAAAAGTGCAGATTCAGGTGTAGACCAGTGTTTGGCCTTTTCCCAGGCTTCTGTGAAGACTGTTAGCAAATGAAAGGGTTAAAAGTTCATTGAGCAATTAGTAAAACAGTTTCATAATCAAAAAATCATATAACATAATTTAAACCAAGCCACAGAATAGTTTGGATGGTGAATTAGTACATCTAGAGCTTGGATGAATGGCTATACCAAAGGTAGGCACACTTTACATTTCAGTAGTAATAAAGACCCTGTAATATCTTGATTCTTCATTTACTACATTATCGCAAGATAAATATGGAGTCTGAGCTTTGATGTAAATACAGACTCTGTTTTTTCTGCTGTGGTACATTATCGATATATTATCAGTGCCCTAAATATTTTGCACAGGACTATACAGTGGAGTACTTTCTGTGGTTTTTTTCAGATATTGTGATTCTCATAGCCTCATATTTGGACAATGATCTAATAGGACATGTATTTCTGATGTCACCACCAGCATATTCATTTATTCAATTGCATGAGTTAGTATTTTGCATTAATGAAATAGTATACAGTGGCACCACTAAAGGTCCTGGTGAGGAATTTCAGGAGTGCAAATTCTCCTCATTCATACCGCATTAGCTTAAAGATCAGTGCTCCCATATCAGTTACTTGAGGCTTAGTCATGGTTCCTTTATTTTGCCTTTCTCAGGAGCATATTTCATTTACATTGTTGGGGTGGCCAAAGAACATACTACATTTTTTTTCTGGGATTAGTGAGTGAAAAGACATCAATCAGGCATCTGAGATTCACCATGCTTCATTAGAAAATCCCGAAACTTATTCCGAGAAAGCTCCTATATGGTTAAACATGAGGGTCAAATATTTTGAGCAGGTAAGCATAACTATAAATCATAATCTGATAGGTCCAAAAGCAATTAATTTTTTGTATTCTATTTCTTGCTTATAACGCGATGGGAAACAACTTTTTTTTGCATGTGTTTGTTATTTGCAGTTGCACTGAAATTTGTTTCAGTCAATGAGCTTTTTCTGAAAAATACCATTAGTAATCACTGATTATCAATCACATTGACTAGCTGCAGCAGAAAATGTGTTTGTGTTATTTGTTGTACTTTTCTTTCTCCAATTTAATAGAAAATTAGGAGGATGAATTCTGCCCCACAATCTAACTTAATAGAGTAAATAATGATACTTGATACTTCAAAAGAGAAGCTGTCTTCATGCATTAGTTTCAAGATCACTCCTTGAAGCAGTTACGACTGATTGTGTGAATAGAGACAACCAGTTTCAGCAGGGGCATAAATTACAGAGTTGTGCACTGGTATTCTTGTATTACTAAAGCTTACTAGCCTTTAGTGAAATTTATAACCTGAAATATCTTGAATGAAGTCTTATATAAAATGTAACTATTTTTTCATATCTAAAGTTTACTTTAAAAATCTGGGTACATGTTCTTCTTCCTAAACCCCTTCATTCATTCATCAAATATGCTTGCTTTAAATTCATTGCTTTTTCCACTGTATAAACTAGGTGGAATTGAACACTTACAGGAAGAATCTAAAGCATTTGGTTGTTATTAGCATGGAGATAGCTGACTCACACATGCAAAACATTAAAGAAACTTACAAATGTTCAAGTGATTTTTGTTTTGTTTTGGGGCTATAGAGCACCAAACCACATCCTGTAGTACAATGGATCTTTTCCCTTTTTATTTTTATTGTGCAGTATCATTTCAGGTTAATAAAACAAACAAGGACAATACTTTTATTTTCTATTCCCCACATTTTATTATTTTTATTTAAATATAACATACTATACATTGTTGCTCAGTGATTTTTATTTCCCTTTTCTTTTTTAAATCCCTCCCCGTTTTCCTTTTGCTCAGGAGTCTGTTATGCTGAGAGTGACAGAAAACAGAACTTATGGTTGAGGATCTGTGATATTCTAGATCAAGTGTTTGCAGTTTACTCCCACTACAGTGGATATTACAGTATACCAAACACACAGGAATCAAGGTTTTTTTATTTTGGTTAATTTTCAGAAACCACTATTCATGTCACAAATGGCTCCTGACTCACTTTGGAAAAGTGATATTTCCGATCTTGGCCTCCGAGCAGCATAGTATTTTGAGTACTATGATAATATTTATGCATAATTCTTCCCCTGACCAAGTCATCTAGGTAATTCTGTCAAAAGAGATTTTAATTTGTACCCCAAATGCTCTTTAAGTGGTCATCCAATACTGCATTCGCCCAAGCTCACATTGAGTGTTCACTGCGGGTGGTCCATTATGTCTTGTCAGTTTTAATTACCGATTACAAATTTTAAACAGAAACTCGCTTTTATCATTGTAGTTAAGTTTGCTGTGAACTGCAATTACATTTAAAATCTGAAATTCTTATTTCCCTTTCTAGAAAAATCTCATTTGTGAAGAAGTAAGCTGGAGATAAAGTACCATGAAATACAATGTCAGCTATCAGCTAAAATGTTGTCTCTCAATGAATTCCTGGTTTTAAAACAGTTGACTTTATTTAAGGACAGGAAATACAATCTGACCATTTTGTGTTTTATGGGAAAGCTATTATTTTTTGCTTTTTTTTAAAAACAGCTAATATTTAAATAACAGATTAAGATTGAAGTGCTGGTTAAACATTGACTTAAATAAGTTATAGAAGATTCCAACAACACCAGCCTTTATAGAGGTTAAACATTCTCAAAAAGACACATTAAGCAAGGCTCTGCTTTGTACCAAAATACAGTTTCCAAACAATAAAAATAAAACCAACTTTTTCACAACAAGAAATATTGAAGATAAAATTGCAGCATCAATATAATCTCATAGTTATCACTTAAAGTATTTAGAACAAAATAATATTATACTACTTTTGTTTCTTACTAAAGACACTGCAAAGGCTTATTTATTTATTTAGTGGAATACAATGTGAAGACAGTGGTACAAATTGTTTGATGTACTGTTTTCTATTTATCTGCTCTAACAAAATGAATCTCAATATGGTTACATTGGTGAGCTGTCCAGAGCTCTCTAAAATTACAGAGTAAAGCAAAACATAAAACAAACCTTATGTACCTTTAATTGAACAGACTTCGTATTATGCTTAACTTTATTATACTGCACTTGCTTAAGTTAAGCCATGGGACTAGTAACACTTCATAAAAATGTGCTGGATATTATGTATTTTGAGCCTTCAGTTACTATGATGGATATGAAAGGCATGCTAAAGCTGGATATCAGCACAGCTTTTTGACTGGCCCTCATATATAATATACATGTAAGTAATAAACTCTGATAAATGCATGAGCATGCTTTTGGATCTCCTGTCCCTCAGTCTTTACTTAGGTATTGCTCCCACTATACGCCTGTGATTCTACAAGCTGGTAACAAGGACAAATGTGCTGAACGGGCGTATTAACTGAATAAGGAGTGCAGGACTGTGTTGCCTTCTTACTTACCTTTCAGAGGCCAAATTTTACACTTGGGAATTACATGCTGTTTAATTCTAACATTTGCAATCTTAGTGAATTTAACAGGACTGTCCACATCCAGGTTCCAGCCCAATGCTTGCTGCAGAATATCGCACTGATTGCAATCCATTAGATCTTAGTTCCAAATTGAAATCAAAGTCAGATGAATATACACATGGATGCATTGACACCCAAGTACAGATGTGGCCCTTTTTCTCAATTTCGAAATATCAGAAAGACCCTTTGAACAAAGTATTTCTTGAAGTTTGTTCTTGAGTGCTGATAAGTAAAAAAATTTCTCCAACATAAAGACACCCAATACCATAAATCCAAGCACTGCTTGTTTGGTCTTTTTGCTTAAGTGCAAGACAGTTTAGGAAAAAAATGGATTATACACATTAAATTCTGTCTTTAAAGCCTTGTCTAATACCTATTCTCAGAGTACTTCTGAGGTTTTGATATTTTAACCTATCAACCTCTTTGTGAAGTACTGAGAAAAAGGGAAAATAACAAAGAAGCAAATGAGGAAAACATTTCAAATCAAAAAGATATTTAACATCCTATTAAATAAATAACTTAGAGAGAAATAAAAAGAAATGAAGTTAGAACATACAAGCAAACCATACTATTCGTTTTGTTAGAACAGTTTTACACTACTTTGCTTATATTCCTTAATCCTATCCATTCTTCCACAAGGCTTCTCCAGAAATGTCATTATTTGTGCATATGACCCAAGTGCTTCCAGTAAATGCTTGCGCGTCTAACTGTTCGTTGGATCATCAGGCTTGAACGAGCAATTAAGGTCTTTGATATCAGTTAGTATTCCATAAATAACTTTCCCCATGAAGATCATTCAACAGATAAGGGTCTCACATCCCTTAAGTTCTGTTGCAGAGATAAAAAAAAATTGTTCACACTGGCAATAACTTCCATCCCATTTGATGCAGCTTGTATCTTGATTATAAGATATGACACCGAACTAAATAAAAGTATTTCAGGCGCCAGCAATGAATACAAAACCTTCAAAGGCTTCCCCTGCTCTCTTTTCAAACAAGCAGATGTCTGCTTGTTTGCAATTTCTTTGCATTTACTCTTCAAGAGGATTACCAAATATTCTTGACATAAGAGCCTTTGGTTCAACTGCATCAATAAAATAGTTCCTTCATCTATGACATTACTACCATTGGAAGAAAGTGAGCTGAAGTGTTTTTCCTTCTTGTTTTCTGTCCTCTCTTTGTAGCTCCCCTTCCATTCAGGGCTACAAACATTTGCCTTCCATTGTGCTTCCAATTTAAGGATGCATATGTGTTATATCCATTTTCTTCTATTCTTTCCTTCAATTTGCAATCACTGTTAAACTCCTTCTGTTAAAAGAAGAAAACAAATACACAAATTCAGAATAAACACAATCTTTCAGAGTTGCAGCATACTGAAGGTAAGTAGTTTCTAAAAATGTTTTGGAAGATTTCAGTGTTCTGTATGTGACACCTTTTTAGGATTCCACAGTGTATTTAAAGAAAAGTTTCACTGTGTCCATAGCATTTAAAGCAACATCAGTTAGACTGCAAAAAGTGAAACCAACAAAAGACATAAACAATTATTCAGTGCATAATTATAGCAGTGAAATGATGTAATTCACTCACAGCTGAAATTAAATTTCTCTGTGTTGGAATATAGCAACAATATTAAGTCAAATTCTCAGTCATAAACTCAAAGTATAAGGTACCAATCTTGGAATCATTCATTATATTTCAGTTCTAACAAATACAACCCTTAAATATCTTGAATCAGATTGCTGAAACCATATGTTAAACAAATATGCATGGCATAGGCCTACTTCTTATTTAAAGTAAGAGCCTTTACACCACACTGGACATGAGAAAGGGCTTTTTTGGATAGGTGCAAATTGCTGTTATGCTGCTGTTGCAATGGATGTGAGGCCTGTTTACTTTGCTGACCTGAAGAGGGGCTTAGCCTGAAAAAGAATCATGTATGATCCTGTATCTTATTAACTAAATAAACTTGAAAGCAATTTTGTGTATGGTACCAGGGATTAAGATTTTCTATTTTTAAAGGAGAATCAGTTGTCAGTCTGTTAGAAAGAATAAAAAATACAAGCATGTGGAAGCATGTAGGGGGAGACTATTTTCTTCTGTAATGTTAAATACACTTTTACGCAGATCTGCTTCTTTATAATGAAGACAAGAATGCTTTGTTTTCACAAACAAGTAATTCCTACATATAAAAAACCCCAGTTTTATCAAGTTATATTCCATTTAGAAGGCTTTTGAAAGTGGGACACTTACAACATACTTAAATTACAACCACAAATTAGCATTTTGTTGTTTCTGCATTTCAGAAAATAAGATGTTCTTTCACAGCTCAGGCAGAAGCACGTCAGAATCTCTGAGTATGATACGCTAACTACATGTGGAATTATTTTTAACATGTCTATGAACAAGACAAGAAATATGTCTGAAGAATAAAACAATTTTCATAGTACAGATGAGAATTTCAGGGATGTTTTATCTTTTATTACGATCAAAATCCTTAGATATTCAGCTAGCAGAGATAATACAGAAAGTATCCACATTAATACAAAAGAACATAAGAATATTAAAAAAAAATATTTTCCATTCCTATTACTTTAAATTAGAATTTTTAAACTAGTTACCGTTCAGTACTTTGATACAGTAAGAATTTTGGGTTCTATAATTAATGTTTTACTTAGTTGCTGCTAAAACCACAGAACATATACTTGTGTTTTCCTAACAGAATTGCACATGTTCAAATGCAATTTGGCTCCCAAAATGCTCTTTGACTTTAGGATTAGTAGTTAGTTGAACAATGACTGATAGGGAAGACACTATCAAGAGAAGACTCCCTACAAAACGACCATTGATACTGCATGTATTCACAAAGCTACATACAGGTCATTTAATATTTATTTGCTCTAATACGCCACCTCTGGCATCAAGGTATTAAGAAGGCAGGTAACTATTAATCACAGTTCTAAACCGCAGTAACTTCTCCTATCTGCCAGCAGCTTATTTTGTTAAAGAAACCACATAGTGAGTCGTCTCTTGCTCCCTCATTCTAACCAAAGTCAGTCAAATGGAAATGTATTTGACAAACACAGAAACAGTCTTACTTGACTTGTTTTCCCAGATGCAGAATTGTACTTGAATCCAAACTTTTATCTGTATTCTTAGATAATACAGAGAGAACAGATGACGTTGTGATGTGGTTAAGAAGTCTTATTGGCAGGGGTCTGAGTGTTAGCCCAGGACTGCTTTGCTCATTTCAAACAAATTTCAGCACAACCCTGCACCAATGTCTATTGTGCACATGCTTAAGAGTGTTTTTACAATTTTTATTGGTTCTGTTTTTCATATCCATCTGCAAGCTGCCACACTGTAGTAATATGAGTCTAACGGCAAGTCTTTGGAGGATGGGAAAAATAATAACAGAAGCATTCTTGAAATCTCTGAAGTACTATGGAATAGGTTTTGATAAGTCATTATGTTGTGATTTTATGATGTGAATATTGAAAAATTATCTCAGCTGGAATTAAAAAAAAGGCTTTCCACATTCGTATCCTCCTGTCAACACTGTTTCTAATACGCCATGAATTACTGAATCGTATGGCAGCAGTTTCCACCTATGGTACATGAAAGCTGTTTTGACTTCTTTTGTGTGTATATAGGGTTGGGATGGACTCTCACCACACCAGCTATGGCTAACAACTTGGGTAGGAAAACTTATCTCAGGCTTTGGGATAGACTATCAAAAATGACTAAATTAAATGCTATAAACTGAGATGTGTGAATTGAAGATGGTGATTTATGCTAACACCTTCACATATGTACAGAAGCATACCCATGATCAATGAGTGTAGTTTAACTGACAAATGGTAACTTTGTCAGCAACTCAATATACCCTTATACCTCTCAATGGTGCAGGACTGAGCACTGCTTATCCTGTATTTCTGACTAGTGTAATTCTAGAAATTAAAATCCATATTTACAGGACTTTAAGAAACATTTGTCTGTTCTGGTCTTTCCTTTATGTCATTTTTTGACACTTTCCAGGAGTTTAGAAAGTCAGAAGTAACCTTTATCAGAAATGATTAGCCACAGTGAAGATGAGGGAAGACAGTTTATATAGTTTGTATGAACTAAACCCACTCTGTAGAAATGTTTCCTTAAAAAAGAGGGCCAAATGACTTCAAGCTCCTTGAGTGTCAGTTGAGACTGGCATTACTTCATTATTTTCAGCAGAGGTAGGAGGCTTAGCTACATTGCTTGAGGATAAACCCAGCCCCAGTACCTATCTGTGACCTGCTCTCTTTAAAACCTATGGATGTTCTGAATACTGAGCAATCTGAAGATTGGCTCATAACCTTTGCAGACGACTTGAATAAGTTTACATTTATGTGGGTTCAAACTCACTGGAACTGGGAAGAAGTTGCAAAATTACAAACCAAACCAGATGTAATACCAGAACAATCTGGTGTTTGTGTAATCATGTGGATGTGTGAGGGTACACTTGAGTTTAGTAGTCAGATTTATAGATCATATTGCTTCCTATTAAAAATATTTGGATAGTTACTGGGTTTTTTTGGGTTGTTTTTTTGTTTGTTTGGTTGGTTTTTTTTTCCCCTGAAAGTATCAGTAACCACAAACTTACACAAATACAAATAGTGTATATATGGACAATTTTCAAATGACACCCAAATTCTGCTCAGTCAAAGCTTACCTATCTGCTGCTATATAAGTCTGTACCTCTCCTTACTGCCCATAATCTTGTGTATTAATCAATAGAGTCAGTTTAAAGCTGGCTACTCTAGAAATCTTCTTGGAAGTCGTAGTTTGATAATTTGGTGTGTCTGCTCCATCAGTTGAAGTTTCCAAGATTTCAGGTACACCTTATCCCCCCCAGAATTACTGCTAAATGTGACTGTACTGCAGAAAAACAGCCTTAAATATTACATTTTGTAGGACCCTCTCCATTGGCCACTACTTAATAAGAAACCTGACATGAAGCATGATAAATCCCAGCAGCTGCTTTGGTATGATATGAACTTAACAAACCATAGGGAGCTTGTGGAGAGGGGGGCTGCTGGTTTACCAAAGGATGAAATTTTGAGGAACAGCTCATTTCAGCTCTAATTAGTAAGACAAGTGGTGTTTTCAGTAGGTAAGAGAGGCAACTATGCTGACTACTGCAATCCATTTGGAAGTTAAAAAATACTTACAGAGCCGTAGACTTTTCCTTTCTTGTTCATGGCTAAATAATAGTTGCTCTTAATGGACTTAACTGCCACAACTCCAATTTCTACAGATGTTATCTCCAATATGCCTAAAAAATAAAAATTGAGCTATTTAATAACTTCAGTAGAGGATTTTCTCACTATAGAAAAGACAATAAACCTGAAAAATACTAAACTTCTAATATTCAGAACCAACAGACCAACAAACTTTAGCAAAATTCTTCTCTAAACCATTGCAAGAATATACACAAACATTGTTTCAATTAACATATTTCCTTTGCTAACCCTGCTTTTTAAACCCCATAAATACTGAAACAGCCCCATTCTTCTTAGCATATATTTTACTCAAATTTATCAGAAGAGACATCTGAACCACAGCATTAAATTAAATCTATAGCATATGTCAATAGAATGTTAGATTTACCCCAATCTTCAAAACCAGTGGTAAACTATTTATTCCTTGTCGGACATTTAGATAAACTAAATCTCTTGGCTGCACTGAGCTGATAAATTCACTTTTGGCAAGTGTGTTGACACTTTGGGATATAGTAAGACTAACCCTAACGGCCACATTATCTTTGTCTTTCAGATATCAGAAACATTTTGCTCTGTTTGCAATAAATATGATTAATTTTTTTTCTTTAAAACAAATTCTTTCTGCAATACTGGATGGCTCAAGAGGCCAATAATGGGAGACAGAGCTTTTCATCTCTATGTTTTCTGCCCAAGAGCATACTGATTTGGGACTAGTAGAAGTTACTACAACTTACATAGTGACTTTAGAGATTCTTTTTCAGCTATTACTAGAGTAACTGGATGGCTATGTTGTTTGGGCATCGTGTCTTAATACAGGATAAATACGGCTCCAACCAAATAACTTCTAAATGGTTTATCCAGGTAGTATGCCTGGCTCCAACATTTCTCCTGATATTAAAGTAGATATTAAAGTAGTCAGAATAATAGCCCATCTAACTCAGTGGTCACTAAGGGTCTACCACTGGGGAAATTACAGGAGGGGCAAAAGTGTTGAGAAATTGTAAAGAACATTGTAGACCAAGCCAACAAATGTGACAAATAGATCAGCTGGAAAAACACTGATGAGTTGCTACCTGCTTAAAAAAAAGAATCTGCAATTTCCTCCTAAATGTGTTCTATGCTTTTTGTCTGAGCAGGGTAGTCCTGGAAAATCCCTATTTTTTTCCATTTACTTAAAAATTCCTTATGGCACATCAGCTGAAGCCAACAGTGTAACTTGGTATTCATTGGTTTTTCTGGAAATGCTGATTTTCTGTCCTTGAAAGCTGAATGCAGTCTGTTCAGGCTGTGGAACCGTGTGGACTTTAGTGTGCAGAGGAGGCGAGGAGGAAGTTCTTTCACTGTAATTTTTTTTCAAAATGGCTGCTTTATATATCATGGAAAAGCCATTCTATATGGTCATTTAACCAGTCTATGCAACTCAGGAGTGAGGGTGTTACTTGTTCTGTGACTAGAGGTAGAAACTTTGACGTTAGCTGGGCAGCGGCTGTGAATCAAGCATGAAAAAGCAATAGCTGATTTTTATTGGGAAGTAAACTGATGACATAGTTTATGTGTGTGAAGAAGAGAGAGAACATCAAACTAGGCTATTTAACATGAAAGACCTCCTCTTATTGTCAAGAAAGGAGAGGTGGCCTTTCTTGGATGCATTTTTAAATACATATAAAATTCAATACTTACATAAGCTACATAAGTTTTGGTATGAACATATATAAATTCCAGTGTAATTACCAGAGGTTTTGTGTTTATTTAGCAAGAAGCATTAGGTTGGCCACAGCTACAAGGTCTATAGTCTTTGCATATGAGAAAGACCTCAGTGAGAACTGCAAGATAAACAACAGTAGGTCTAGTATCTAGTAAAACCCTTCAGAAAATGGACCACGTCAAACCAGAAAGAATAATATAAAAAAAGTTTCTTGTCCAAACCTATAAAAAGCAGAAAATGGAGGATTATTTTGTTTAAATATTGATATCAAAATGCAAATATAAATGTTGATAGACACAATCAATCATGTATTATTAAAAAAAAAAGTGATAAAGCCTCCTGCTGTAAGATTTTTATGGTAAGATTCTTAATTACAGCATGAAAAATCACCAGTGCTAAGGATGGAGTTGCACATACAAGCTAAGAAAATTTTACCTATGCTGTGAAAGATCTGAATATCCACTGAGCTTCTTAGAGCCGTGTGAGAACAATACTGCACTAATCGCCTCTCAGGCTTGAAACCCAGACTTGAACAAACAGAGTGAATGCACAGTTACATACGGCACTGCAAGTCTGCTACCTGTGAGAGGGTAAAAACAACAGTTCCCAAAATCAGCTCACTCCATCATCAGTAGTATCCAACTCAATAGCAGCAAAGGCTCCTCTGATATCTGGAGCTGCCTAACTACTGCCAAGCAGAAAAGATATGACCAGTTATTTAAATGAAAACTCAACACAACTTCCATTAGTTACTTATATGTAATGTTAGCTTGAGAATTAGCAAAAGGTGCTTAGGTGGAAATAAGAGGAGCTATAACTTAGGGGAACTCTGTAATCTAGGAAGACCCAGAAAATGTGAGGGAAGAGTCAGTTAAGACCCATGATCTACTTTTAAGACTAACTTGTTTACTGTTGCAAAGGAGCCATATATAATTTTCCATATGTAAGATGAAGAGAATTATACTCTCTAATCTCAAGAAAAGTTGTGAGGCATCCTTAATTAGGTCTTGACAGTCAGCTCATATATATCAATGTCATGCCATTGATACAAGCAGATCAGTGAGTCCATACCAGCCAAGGCTTATTATACTTGTATTACTCTTAAATGTTGCTCATTTTCACAGCAAAGAAAAGCCAAAGCTGCTTTCTTGATTTCCTGTGAAAGCATTAATACAGAGCAGTGGTCTTTAATATTTCTCTCCCATGGGACATCTCCTAAAGTATTTGTGCTCAAAATCAGAGTTCAGTGGAGTGACTTAAGTTATGTGGATGACAAGCTATTAGAGGGTAAGAATGTGTTGTGAACACTGGTACAACACCCACTTCTTTTTACATAAATGACATGTTTTTTTGTATTTTCTACGCCAAAAAGTGATGAGAAGAATTTAGTTAATTCTTTCTACAGAAATTAATTGCTGTAACCCGAACCGTGGCACCAGTAAAACTAGGCTGGTTCCATTTCTAACAACAGCAATTATAACAAAAAAAAAAAAAAAAAAAAAAAAAAAAAGATACTGGCATAACATTTATTGATTTTTATGTTGAAATGGATTAAACTGAGTTATACTTTGTCATATTATCCTTGTAACAATAACACCATATTAGACCATTTCAATTGATTATTACACTTGCAGCTGAAGGAGAACAGTGCTTAAATAAGAAACTTGCACTAACCCATTTTAAGTGTTTTGCACTTGAATGATGAAGATACACTGCTTTTTAGTACAATACCTAAGTTAAAGTAACAGAAGTATTCAGATAATTCATGAAAATATAGTAATTTTTTCTGGTAAAGTTTGTTTGCAATCTCACACTCCATTATATCCCCAATGGGGCAGTTGAAAGGAGGTCATGAGGAGAAATGTTACTACATTTACATTATATCCACAGTAACTAGCTTGATTACACCTAGTTAATGCCATTTAACTGGAGCCAAAAGTAGCTGAATTCTTTGGAACTATTATCAGTTTGATCTCATCACCAATGATCCTGGATTTATTCCCACTGAGTGTGTTTTGTGTATCTGGAAGTTGAAAAATGTACAATTTTCAGTGACAATTTTGCATTTTCTAACCTCTGCAGTATTTTGGGGGAAGAAGGGGATATTTTAATGGCTGTTTTACTTTCAAATGAATTTAATACTCTTGATCTATTACCCCTTGGGTAAAGGGACCTAATGTGGTACTCATCTACCCTGCTACTCTCTGTACACACCACAGACTTCACTGGAGTTACATGCTAGTTACAAGCACAGAACTAACTTTTGTCTAGATTGCAAATTATTCAGTATTATTTACAGATTTCTCAGGAGGAGATTCTCTCATGTGTTTGATAGAAATCTACTGAAGGCAATAGGAATCTTTTCATAGGTGTCAGTGATGTAGACACAGATTTCAAAGGTCAGCATGAGACCACCAACTCATCTGTCATGGATCTACAAGCAGAAGCCATAAGGACTTTCCAGAACTTTGAAATAGATTGGATTTAAATCAAATGCTTTTGATGTAAGGGTGAAAATATGTATTTGATTATTCTCAAGTCTTTCAGGAATGTATAAAAAAAAGAAATTGAGATATACAGTATGAAGCTTAAAACTGTAGTGTTTTCACCATCTAATGAAACTGACTTCTTCGAGGGCACAAGAACTTTTGTGTTTTCGTCAAGGTTTATGTAGTAGAGTCACAGGCCATGACTGGACTTCTATAATACTGTAATAAAAAATATAATTTCCATGGGCTCTCAGGATTAACTCTGCAAAATTTCTTATTCTTCAATTGCTGCAGGCTTGGAGGTAAGAGCCTGTGTGTAGTCATAGACAATATGGCTGAAATGATGCCAGACCACTGCGGGTACTCCGCTGGCATTAGTTAGGAAAGCTATTCTTGACAGATGATTGATCTCAGACATCTTCGAAAAATGAGATTCTATGACCTCCCGAGTAACCTATTCCACTATCTACATTAGAAAGTTTTTCTAGTATCCAATTTAAATGGCCTTGTTGTAATCTGAGCCCATTAATTCTTGTTTAAACTGTAAACTAATATGAAAAAGAGATTTTTCTTTTTCTTTGCAGAAACCTTTCACGTATTCACGAATTATTATCACACCCACCTATCTACCTACCAACTTTTGCTCTCTAAACAAGCCCAGTTTTTCAATGCTTTCCTTAAAGCTTTCAGGTTTTCTAGACCTTTGAACACTCCTGGTGCTTATGCCCACAGCATGGCCATAATACTCTTACTGAAATCTTATCAGTGTTACCACGTGAAGGAACATTTCATATTTCCTGCAAAGGATATATGTACAGTCATAGACTTATGCATATACTTCCTTTTTTTTTTA